GCAGTCAGCAGAAGTAGCCTGCAGGGCGGCACTCGAACCACTGCAACTCACTTAACAGGGTCATTAAGCGACGTCTCACATAATGACCCTATTGGTTAGCACCTTCCTCACCTGTTCTCCACTCCTTTCAGCTGTTTGGAGCCGTCTCAGAAACTCCTCGGCCAGACCGACAGCTTCCAGGCAGGTGTCCGGAGTACGTTCCTTGACCCAGTTTTGCATTTCCCGCGGCAGGATGTTCAGGAACTGTTCTAGAAGCAGGAGCTCCAGAATCTGCTCTTTGCTGCTCCTCTCGACCCGCAGCCACTGGCAGAAGAGCTCCTGGAGCCGGGCGAGGACTTGCTGTGGTCCCTCGGCTTCTTGAAAGCAAAACCGGCGGAACTTTTGACGTTGCTTCTCTCTGAAGATGGCCTCACGGTGCAGGATGGCTGACTTCACCTTCCAGTAGTCTTCCCGATCCTCGGCGGAGAGGGCAACGAAAGCCTTCTCAGCCTCCTCGCTGAGAGCTGGCAGCAGCCGCGTCACCCACTCTTTTCTCGGCCAGCGGCAAGCCACGGCGACTTTCTCGAAGGAGGCCAGGAAGGCCCGAGGATCCTCCCACGGAGTTAGATCATCCAGCAGCTGCTTCTCGAAAACGGTGTCCTTCAGGAACTCCTGGAACTGCGTCTCCCACAGATTATGCAGGCTTTGGTCCTCTTGGTGGTGGGGCATTTCCAAGAATCCCCCTATCCCTCCAGCTTGGGGGGCAAGAGAGGGCTGGGACCCAGCTCCTAAGCCCAGCTCAGCCTGCAAACTTGGAGGGTCGTCCCGTAGCCCTCCTTTCTTGGCCACCTCCATCTTGATTTCCGGCCCTTGCCGGAGGTCCCTTTTCTCCTTCCGCAGCTTTGCTTTCCTCATTTGGCCGAAGTTAGGACCGCCTTGCACAACCCCTGCAAAGAGCCGTTTAAAATGGCGACCACCGAAGCACCCAAAGTGGAGACGCGAGGAAGAATTTCTATTCTGGCTGCCTCTCAAAGAACTGGAGGGTTTTGTGGGAGCAAGCTTCCAGACAGCTAAAAAAAAAAAAGAGGAAGGAAAATGCAATTATCGCTTGCAGGATTTTGAGGGATGTCAAAAACACTTGCAAAGAAATCACGAAGTCCAGTTTGTGAAGCAAAAGACTCTCACAAAATGATTCGGTTTGCAAAACGTAATCACCAAACCGGTAGTAACGCTGGTTTAATCCCACCCCTGCGGTAGACACATTGGTGCGCTTATGCACACCCCTTACAGACCTCTTAGGAAAGGGGTGAGGTCAATAGTAGACAGTCTAAGGTTAAAGTTTTTGAGGTTTGGGGAAGAAACCAAAGAGTCAGGTAGAGTACTCCAGACATTGACCACTCCGTTGCTGAAGTCGTATTTCCTGCAGTCAAGTTTGGTGTGGTTTACTTTTGAGTTTGTATCTATTGTGTACTCTTGTATTGTTGTGGTTGAAGCTGAAGTATTCATTGACAGGTAGGACATTGCAATATATAATTTTATATACTATACTTAGATCGGACTGAAGGCGGAGTAGTTTTAGGTTATCTAGGTTTAAACTTTCAAGTCTGCTGGCATAAGGTATTCTGCAACGAGTAGAGGAGTGGAAAACTCTTCTCATGAAATATTTCTGGACTTTCTCAACTGTGTTAATATCAGATACGTAATGTGGGCTACAGACTGATGAGCTGTATTCAAGTATTGGTCTAGCAAATGTTTTGTATGCTCTAGTTAGTAGTGTGATATTACCAGAGACAAAGCTACGCAGGATTAGGTTAACAACTCTTGATGCCTTTTTGGCTATGTATTTACAACAGGCTCTAGCACTTAGATCCATTAGAGATGAGTACTCCAAGGTCCTTGAAGAGTTGGGGTCATCAACAAGGTCTTGACTATTCAGCTTGTATTTTATTTTCTGATATATATATATTTTGCCAATAAGTAAGACAGAGCATTTGTTTGTTGAGATTTGAAATTGCCATTTGTTTGACCATTCTGGAATTCTGGGAGTTGAAGTCCACAAGCCTTAAGGTGGCCATGCTTGAATCTAAATCAAGGGTCTAAATCAAGGGTCTTCCCACTTGACAGCTTTGAGACTTGTGGACTTCAACTCCCAGAATTCTTCCTCCAGTCATGTTAGCTCAGGAATTCTGGGAGTTGAAGTCCACAAGTCTCAAAGCTGTCAAGTGGGAAGACCCTTGCTTTGAACGGTCACTAAATGAACTGTTATAACTTGAGGATTACCTGTAATTTTTTTTATTTATTAAAATATGCTGTATTTTAACTCTTAATTTCATTTTATGCATCCAAGTTGTTGGAAGAAAGCTTCTCGAAACCACTAGTGAGATATGTAATCTCACCACTCCTCAGTTTGATCCTCCAAGTTAAAAAAAAAGTCATTAGAAGCCAGAATCAAAACTATTAATTTTTAAAATGCCCAACCTATTTTTTTTGGGGGGGGTGTTCCTACTTTTTTTTAAGGACAAGGATCATTTTATTCAGCTCCAAGGAAGGTGGGTGGGCTGAGGTGGACATAGGTGCCACTACCACCAGGTGCAGCTAATCCATTTGTAAGCTATTTGTATTCCTTGAAGACCCAAGATGGGAAGGTGGGAACTGTTTAGCAAGACAAAAGGTTGTCTTCCCCTTTTTAAATAGGTTTAGATTGGCAAGAGGTCAGCCAGGGGGCAAGGCATGTTACCAGAATAACAGAGTTGGAAGGGACCTTAGAGGACTTCTAGTCTAACCCCCAATTTAGGCAGGATACAATTCTTATCCTTGGGGAGACACACTCAATTTAGAGAATACCTTTTATCAGGTCATCTGAACATTTATGATACTTTGCAGGAACCTGGCTCTAAATCTTTCAAAATCCATCTGCAAAAACTCCACACACACACCCTAATTTAAAAGCAGAGGTGTATTAAACACAAAAATTACTTGTCAGAAAAGATTATGGCATAATAATTTAATACAGTGGTATATATAAACCACCCATCAGTTGGATTTTATAGCATACCCAAGACAGAGGTTTCCAATTAAGTTTACCGATTAAGAGAAGAAACTTCAGACGATCTTATCATGGTTTAAACTAATTGCTGGTAACACTAAGCCACCAATCACCTTTGCCTGTTCTCTTTTAAACCAGCAAACCTCCTCCTGCCTGGCTGACCCGATTTTAAAGCCCAATGAAATGGGAGATAATGAAGTATAAAGCACGTGTGTAAACGCAGCCAGGCCCAAACCTCACAATTTGGTACGCATTCAACAGGCAGCGGCCTACGGGACTCCTTGCCACGCGATCCTGCGAATGAGACACAGGAAACTTTAAAAAAAAAAAAAGAGGGAAGAGATCTTTTATTTATTTTTCCTTCTTAATCGGAGGAGGCCTGGATGTAGAGGGATTGGCCGTAATCCAATCACTCTGTGTGTGTGTGTGAGAGAGAGAGAGATGCACGTTTTAATGCATTTGAACTACTATTTCTTGCAAACGTCTCTAGGAATTTCATAGGAGCGTTATTGCAATCTCGACCGGTTTATTAAATTTATATGCCGCCCCTCGGTAAGTCAAAGCGATGTTGCTCTTCTTCCTCAGCCGGCCCACGACTCCTCCTGGATCAACCATTTTGCTAACCCATTTTCCCACGCGTGAAATCCCAGACCGTGTGTGTGTGAGAGAGAGAGAGGGGGGGGGGGAGGGGCGGACAATCCCGGTGGGGAACCTTCAACGCCACTCTCTTGAACCAAAAAAATAAATAAAAAGCCCTTTTTAAGATAAGAACTGCATAAGAACGGAAGGGGGTTATTTACTGCCGTGCTTCTTCCTTGCCGGGATATGGATGTTGGATAGATAAACGTTAAAGGGATTGCAAAAGCAAGTCAGGGAATAAAAACGCATCCGGAGTAGCGGTGAGTTCCGCAGGCTTTGACTCCCAAACGCAGAGAAATGGATTCAGACGAAAAAGCAATTCAGAAATGGACTTAAGAGAAATCCATTAGCTGCAAACCACGTTGCTTTCTCCCCCCCCCTCGCCCCCCTCCCCAAACTCACCTCGTATCCCGCTTGAGTGGGAAGGAAAACTGGGCTTGAAAGGCTCACGCCGGCGTCCTCTTATTTCTTCTTTTTCCTTTTTGCACGATACGAGATCTGGGTGCGAATTTAGATCTGCCCATCTTAAAACTTTTGCAAGACGCCCCCCTCCCTCCTCTGGCCCCGCCCCGTTTGGAGGTGGGTGGGCGGGAAAACGATTCAAGGTGAGATACCGGTAGGAGGTTTTCAAGAGGTGGGGAAAAACCTAAAACCTTAATTAAAAACCTTGGAAAGGGTAGGGGGACGCCATTCACCTATTAATGGGGGAAAAGGGGGCACAAAAGATTTGGGGAAATAGGTTTGGGAGATTGCCTGGGGCAGGGCGGGTTTGATTGATTGATTGATTGATGGCTCCGTCCCCCCCCCCCCCGCCAGCTCTAGACACTAGAAGATCAAGGGTCTTCTAACTTGGCAAGTTTAAGACTTGTGGACTTCGACTCCCAGAATTCCTGAGCTAACATGACTGGAGGAGGAATTCTGGGAGTTGAAGTCCACAAGCTTTAAAGCTGTTAAGTTTGAAGAAACACCCCCCCACACACACACACTAGATAGATTTGATAAAAAGAGGGTGATTCCAACCCTCATGCCAGGATCAAGAACCCATCATCCCCAGGAACACTAGTCAGGTCCCTTCCAACTCTGTTCTGATGACGTTATTGGGATGATCTCATGTAAACATGATCATGACATTATATGCATCTAATACAGGTAGGTGAAGTTGCAGGTCTTGCGTCATGATCAAAATTGCTTTTATATCGTTTCCTGATGTAAAACTTGGATTCAAGAACCCATCATCCCCAGGAATAGATGTCAGGCTGAGGCTGATATTCTATTCCAGAGTTCTACCGGCATTATAAACACTTAATGCTTAACCAGGATTGCATTGGGGTGGCTTGCTAAAACATATTGCATCCTAAACCATGCTTTACAAACCATCGGTGCATGGAGCAATGTTTCTCAGGGTCAACAAATTGAAGCTGTGTGGACTTCATTTCCCAGAATTCCCCAGCTGGGGAATTCTGGGAAATGAAGTCCACACAGCTTCAATTTGTTGACCCTGAGAAATACTAGCATGGAAGTTAACACAAGCCAGGTCTTTGGGTGGATTTTGAGCCAGTCATTCTCTTTCTACCAAACCTATCTAGTGTCCAGAGCTGGCAAAGGGAAAATGGAGCCCCAATCAATCAATTAACCAATCAATCAAATCAAATAGGCTGGGGAATTCTGGGAAATAAAGTCCACACAGCTTCAATTTGTTGACCCTGAGAAATACTAGCATGGAAGTTAACACAAGGTCTTTGGGTGGATTTTGAGCCAGTCATTCTCTTTCTACCAAACCTATGTAGTGTCCAGAGCTGGCAGAGGGAAAATGGAGCCCCAATCAATCAATCAATCAACCAATCAATCAAATCAAATAGGCTGGGGAATTCTGGGAAATGAAGTCCAAACAGCTTAAACTTGCTGACCCTGAGAAACACTGCTCCATGCACAGATGGGTATGATTACTGGTTTGTAAATCATGATTTAGGAGGTAATATATTTTAGCAAGCCACCCCAATGTGATCCTGGTTAAGCAACGATTAACTGCTTATAGTGAACTCTGGAATGGATTATCAGCCTTAGCCTGATGGGTTCTTGAATCCAAGGTTTATATCAGGAAACCATATAAAAGCAATTCGGTCCTGATGCAAAACCTGCAACTTTATGTACCTATATTAGATGCACTTCAGTATTTCCGGAAGGCCCGGTTTTTTGGCCTCCTGAAGCTGCAGAGGCTTCCCTCATGCTT